GTGAGATTTTGTAACCGTTAGATCAACTATCCACGACGATTACATGACGATCTAGTGGCTACAAATCCCGACCGAATGATTCCGTAACAAGACTGTAGCATTTTCCCTAACATTAATATGTATGAGAGGTATGAATTTTAGAGTCAAAATAGGTTTTCTTAAATAAACCATGAAATTGTTAATTCATGGTAAGAAAATACAATAATCATTTAATTAATGAATAAGTTCCTTTTAGCGAGCATGACTTCCTTAGAAAGAAATAGGTTGACCCACATTAAAAACAGGTAATTTATGTTTGAACAATTGTTTGCTAATAAAATAAGTAGAATACTATTTTATAGGAATAAATGTCGTGAACAACACTATTGTTAATGCTGCCTAATTTTAAGCTTTATTATAAAAAAATCCGTTCTTATTATTAAACATCATATTTTTATTTATATTATATTTGAACATATGACATAAAGTAATCAAGTGAAATTATTTAATTATTATAGTCAGCCTAACAAATTTGAAAAAATTATAACGGATAACCAAATAAAAGGAATCTTATATAACGCAATTCAAATAATTAATAACATCCCAATTTATATAGTTCTATGATCTAATTTGATTCTTTATATTACGAAGTGTGACAATCTTATTCTGGAATATTTTTAAATTATTACTATTTACCATAAAAAAATAAATTATCTAATCAGTTAATCACATTATATGACATAGACGAACAATTATTACAGAGGGTATTCTTTTAAATAAAAATATATTTTTTTTTTCAAAAATTATTTAGAAAACAAAATAATATATTACAAATTGTTGTATATGGCGGTGGCTACTGTACAAAACATTCCAAAACAGGTCGGCGCCCACGTGTCTGCCACGTCATCTCTTCTCTTTTATATCACAGACCTCAACTGCTCATCTCTCTCTCTCTCTCTCTCTCTCTCTCAAATATCTCTTTCAAAACTCTCTTTTTCTATGAAAAAGATCACCAGATTCACTCCTTCAAAAAACTCTCTCTCTCTCTCTCTCTATCTCTATCTCTCTCTCTCTCTCACACACACACACATCGGCATCGCCATTACTTTACACTTGAAGATGAAGCCTTAGAACAGTTCGCCTCATCTCGCAACTAACCCTTCACATGATTCTTCCCCTCTTTTTTCTTCTCTCTCTCTCTCTTTACCCCTTTTTCCCTCTCTGCAACTCTGAAAATCAGAGCCCTCAACTTTTTTATTGGCTCTAATTTGTATGCCCGTCAATGTCAGAAAGACACCTCCACATTAATAACAGGGTACGTTCAAATTCTCGCCCAGTGAGTGTTTATCTTTTTGAAAGCCCCTTCTTTATTGACTGCAAAATTTTTGTTTGTTTTTTGAAAAAAAAATGAGCAATCTTTGAAGTTTGAACAGCTGTTTGTGTAGTTTTTTTGTCTTTAGATCTGTTGAGTTTTCATGGGTTCTTTTGATTTGGATGTAATTATTGGGATTTGATGTGTTCTGAGTTTTCCATTTTGGCTCCTCGAGTGATTCTTGGATTACATTGAATAACATTAGCATTATTGTTTAAAAAAAAAAATAAAAAGACAAAGGGTTTAATTTTTTGAGAAAATGCCAAGGAAAATTCCGAATTCGGATGGAAAAATCGGAGCAAGAAAATGCAGAGTGAGGAAAAGGGTTTCCTCTTCGTCATCTTCCTCGGCATTACATCAAAGCTGTCGATTAAAGCGAGTTTTTTCGGTGGGGAAAAAGGCGGGATCGAGCACGCCCGTGCCAAGATGGAAAACGATGATGGGGTTCTCAGAAAATGATGGGCCGGTCGAGCATTCAGTGGCGACGAATAGAGGCCAAAGGGCTAATAGTAGATCGACGGTCTCGGCCAGAAAATTGGCCGCCGTTCTTTGGGAGATTGATGGTTTGAGTGAAGTAGGAATTTTTAGAAAATTTAAGAATTTTGAATGTTCTAAATTGGGATCAAAGGCTCTTGTTTTGACTGATCTATCAAGTAGTAATGTTTCTGAGGTGGGATTGCAATTTAGTTGTTAAAAAAAATTGTTTTTTTTTTTTTTTGAATAATTGTTTTGATTTCTGTATGCAGATTGTGTTGATTTATCCTTTTCCTTGACATTTTTTTTTTTAATTTTTTTTTTCGGAAATTTGCTGCAGATGATGGATTTATCAAAAGCAGGCAGCCATAGAGGAACATCAGCAGCAAGCTCTCAGAAAACTGTGCACACTGATTGTGATTTGGGCAGTGGCAACAAGTCTATCCATGATTGCTTGGTTGAGGTATCATTTGTGAATAATAATTAATTTGTTTTAAAAGTAGACTGATTATTCTGTTAAAATGAGCTTTCTTCAGATGGTTTGAGCATTTAATTGTATGATTTTTATGGTGGAAAATTGTTTTCTGATTAATTTGAGATGTGAGGCACATATCACAAATGCTGATGTTAGGCTGTCTAACCGTTAGGAAGTCGTACCGTTCTTACAAAAAAGATGCGTACTTATATTATGAAATTTCACATTTTTGTTTATAAAGTATTTTAAAATATGACTGTATATTTGTTGAAGAGTAGGCTATTATTGCTTTTGGAGCTACTCTTGAATAAGAAATGGACAAAAATGCTCTGTTAATAGAATGGAGCAAAGAACATGGCTTG